AGTCAATGTTCTTTATAGCGCTCGGAAGAGGGTAGAAAATATGTTTGCTCCTATTTGACACAAAACAGTTTTTAAATATATTTTTCAGCTCATTTCAATTTCTTCACAAGTCATATTTTCATTGTAAAGGGAAAGGGTATTTTCTCGTACTTAAACTTTTTGTCAACAAAAACCTTTGTTTTATATTAGCAATTTTGTTTTTTTTGTCAACAAAAACCTTTGTTTTATATTAGCAATTTTACTTTTGAAAGTTTAGCATCTAGCTTAACTGTTGTAGTTGTAAATCTGCATGTTTAGTAGCATTTCACTTGAGTAGTTTAACTTCAAACTTCGTACTTTACTTTGTTCTTATTTTTATTTTATTTTAAGAATAAAATATTAATAGCTAGCTTATATATATTTTCAGTTTCCCTGTGAGATCGATATCTAGGATTCCATTAGAGTCCTGTATTACTTGAACGATACGTATACTTGCGTTATATATAGAAGGGAATTGAGAGTCTAAAAGTGGTTTTAAAGATAAATTATTTTCATTAAAGTTAAATTATTATTTGGGTTACATTGCATATTTACATTGTTACATTGCATATTTATTATTAATTTAATCCCAAGTTTCCGCGCATCAATGATACAAAAGGATAGAATTTTTCAAGTCTTCTAGTTTTGTTTTAAACAATGTATTATGCTATTTTAAGTATATTTTCTTCATATTTTAATAATTTTTAAATAAATTTTTTCTTAAGCATGAGAGTTCAAAACCTATTTTATAAAAATAATACTTCTGTAATCCTCTAGTTTTATTTTAAACAATATATTATGTTATTTTAAGTATGTTTGATTCTTTATTTTGATGATTTTTCAATGAAATTTGTTTTTTAATTATAAGGGTACAAAGAGGGTATACAAACTGTACAAACTTATTTTTTAAAGATAATTTTTGTAGTCATCTAGTTTTATTTTTAGCAATATATTATGTTATTTAAGCATGTTTGATTCGAAATATTGACGGTTCCATGAATTTTATCTTTTAATTATGTGGGTACAAATATAGTACAAACTTATTTTTCAGGTATAAAATATTTGTTGCCCTCTGACATTGTTTTAAATATTGTATTATATTATTTTAAACACTTCTTATTTTATATATTGATGTTTTTTAATGAATTTATTTTTTAATCATTGAGGTATAAAGAGGGCACAAACTTCTTTTTCATGGATAGAACTTTTGTAATCTTTTAGTTTTGTTTTAAATCATGTATTAAGTTATTTTTAGCATGTTTCATTTCATATATTATTAATTAGTTTTTCAGTCAAATTTATTTTTAAGCATGAGGATACAAAGTGAGTAAAAATTTATTTTTTAATGATGTAACTTTTGTAAACATCTTCTCTTATTTAAACAATTTATTATATTATTTTATGTGTGTGCTGTTTCATATATTAATAATTTTTGTAATTAACTTTACTTTAAGCACAAGGGTACAACAACAACAAACCATTATGCCACTGTGGGGTCGGCTACAATGATCCTTTTTCTCCATTGCATCCTATTGAGTGTCATATTTTCATTTAATTCTAATAAATTAAGATCATTTTTTATACCATATGCCCAAGTCTTTCTACTTCTACCTCTGCCTTTATTAACATAAGTCGAATCTAAAACATCTACTTTACTAATCGGATCATCAGATGGTAAATGTACAAAGGTATAAAATTATTTTTTTAGGATAAAGCTTTTATAGTTTTCTAATTTTGTTTTAAATAATATATTAAGCTATTTTCAGCATGTTTGTTTTCTTATATTGATGAATTTTCAATGAACATTTTCTTGTAAGCTGATGGTACAAAGAGAGTACAACCTTGTTTTTCAAAGATAAAGTTTGTGTAGCTCTTTAATTTTTTTAAAATAATATAATATGTTTTCTTAATCATGTTTTATTCCATTCATTGATGTTTGTTACACATTTTATCTTTGTAAGTATGATGGTACAAAGACTATAAATATATTTTACAAGAATAAAGATAAGATAGTCTTATAGTTTTATTTCAAATAACGATTTTGTTATTTTAAGTATGTTTTGTTTCATATATTGATGCATTTTCAATGAACTTTATTTTTAATGATGATGGTATAAATATGGTACATATCTATTTTTTAAGGATAAAGTTTTTGTAGTCCTCTAGTTTTGTTTTAAAAATTTAGTATGCTATTTTAAATATTGTTTTCTATATATTGATGGTTTGTCAATGAACTTTGCTTAATCAGTGTAAAGGTTCAAAGATGGTATAAAATTATCTTTCAAGAAAATATATTATGCAGTCCTGTAGTTTTATTTTTAATAATCTATTACACTATTTTAAACAAATTTAGTTTCATATATTGTTGATTTTTCAATGATCTTTATTTAATCGACATGAGGGTGCAAAAAGGGTACAAACCTATCTTTCAATGATAGAAGTTTTGTAATATTTTTTTTATTTTATTTTAAACAATATATTATGTTATTTTATTTCATCTTCACTTATGCTTTTTTGCTTATATGTAATGACTTTGCCTAATATTGCTTATTTTGTGTATAGGAAAATATCTTTATTAAAGATTATCTGCAGATGTAGACATTCCATTATTAAAATAGTTTGGTATTCGCTGCTGAACACATGCTGAAGAAATTATTGTTATCATAAAAGAGTTGAACGCCTATAAATTCACTAAGTTGTCTACCTTGTTGGTACAGATTGTCTTGCTGGGATATTGATAGATATTTTATTTTATCGGTGGCACTTATATGAGCTTCAATTTCGATAATGTGTCATTGCTTATAGATATGCCCAATATATGAGAAAATGTTACATGGAATAGTGTACTAAAATCAAAATTCAAGTCTGCATATTTCAAGAATCAAGTATACAAAGTCAAAATTTACCAATCATCAGATACATTTGTAAGCACATATATAAAGTTTTTGCTAACAAACTTGTTCTTGCCTTATGAAAATTATACAGTGTCAAGGGACTTTTGCAACCATGCCAACTTCATCGATTTCCATGTTACAATTGGCTCAGTGTTAATTTTGATTTTTTTTTTGTTTCTCAATTTGATCCAACGCCGAGAAAATAAGTATGAAGGACTTTGTCTATATGAATACTTTTGTACCTCTTTTTACGATTAATATATAATCCATATCAATCAACTTATATTTTTAGAGAATTAACTCAACATATTGTGACTTGTTTTTGGATATGATTCTTTGAATATATTTCTTTGCTAGTTCCTCGAATTCCTTGTGCAAGGCCATGTATGTTGAGGTGGTCTAATACTGCTTTTGAAAAAAAAGTCTCACTCTGAATTAGTTTTTAAATGAGGCTCTTAACATGTAACAACACACCTTTTTAACTTAGTTGTTCAGTACATGATGTTTGCTTTCAGAGCATGTACATGGAATATATGGTTAATTCAGGTTTTTGAAAATTTCAAGGAAATATCTGATGAGGAAGTGATTCTACTTGTAGCACCTCTTCTCAATCCTCATGCTCCTGCTCGAAGCACTTGGCTCAGCTCACCCCAATATTCTTCCCCATCCCTACATAGTATACCATATATTTCTACATATTCTCTTCCACTAACATCTACTGAAACACACTCTAAGTGTAGATATAGTTGATTTGATTAACAACCTGTATAAGAAATTCATTAAATTTAGGCTTCACTATTCAGCAAAGTAAATGAAATCAATTCTAGATTAAAGGTTGTAGAGGAGAGACAAAAGAAGAAATCTGCTTATAATCTCTGTTAAGCACCATTGTTCAGGGTGTAAATGCTCGACAAATAAGAAAAAAAAAAGAATGTTGAGTTTCCCTTATATTATGGAATATACTTTAAGAAAAGGAGAAAAGCAGAGCCCAAAAAGGAATTTTCCCGAGCTGTTGAGGACGTTATGGTTAAAATTGAAGTTTAAGTGGATGATAAGGTAGGACCTGAAGTTCTACCTGACAAAAAGGATGATGTCTTTGATGAATTACAGTCTGTTGAGGACATGGTCAGGGATGAGGTTCAACCTAAGGAAGAAGAGGAGCAGGCAGTTTCTTTATTCTTGTTGTGTGTACATGAGCATGTAGAATTCTTTTATATCTGGTGCTAAATTTATTTAATTTTATTGAAGCGGATTACTAAAGTAGTCCATGAAATGTTTGAACAAAAAATTGAAGAAAATGAGCCGTTACATGTAGTTGACCAATTTGAAGAGAATGTATATATGAATTATTTCATTAGTGTTTATTATAGTATATATGAAGATTGATGGGGGTAGAGCCGAAGGTTGAGTTTCCAGCAAGAGATAAAATATCACCACATATACTGGAGTTAATTGGTCGTTCTTGCAAGCATTTCATGTATAGGTGCGCTTTTAGTTATATATTCCTCTCAGTTCCAACATTACCTAAATTTGATTGGTTTGTCCTCACTTATTATGCTCACTTTATAGGGGTGATACCGTGATAGAATCTTGTCATTTTATAATAAGCATGCCATCTTTTGATGAGATACTAACAAATCGATATTTATCAAATGAACATTTAGATGCATTTGCTTATATTGTTTTAGAAAAGAAGAGGGCATGCCCAGAGCTAGATGAATTATATTTGTATATATCATGTTTGCACTGAGAGAGTCCATATATGGTCTCATTTCTTAGATCATTCTATAAGAATTTAATCCTCATATATATCTAATAAACATATTTTTTCTCCTTTTTAATGCATGTTTATTGCATAATGATGTATTCAATTGCATTTGTTTGCTTCTCATTTGATTCACTGGGCGTTTAGCTGCTTGTTATCGTTGAAAGTTTGTAGCACTTTTATGTATCATCTTTGTGATGAAATTGATATTATGTTTTAATCCTCACTTCATCTTGAATATGAATTTCATCTCTTCACCAACAAGGAGCATAGTTGTTAGAATGTCATACATTTCAAAATTTGACTACGAAAATATGCTGCAGGTTTTTGCAATGCCAGAAACAGCTTTGGGATTTTTCCCAGACATAGGTTCTTCATATTTTCTATCAAGGCTCCCTGGATTCTTTGGTAATAATCATTACCTGTGGCTTCGTGAACTTTATCCCTCTTTCTTGGTACATAGGTTCTTCATATTTTTTATGGTCATTATTTCCTGGATAATTTGTGTGAGATCTTTTTTTCAGGAACTATAAATATTTTTAATTTTGGTTCTTTCTTAAATATGATCCAAAATAGTTTCTTTGTTGGATTATTTTGATGAGGATTTGAGGATTTTAAGGACTATTTTAATCGGGATCAAATTTAAGGAGTTATGAGATTAAATTGGATGTATAAGATAATTCAACACTAAAATATCCTCCCATAAATAATCCAATATCATTGAATTTTTTTACTTATTTTTCCCATATTGCAATAAGCCCTCGCTAGGGAAGGTATAACTTTGTTTTTACACATTTTTATTTATCTGACATGGATGTCGATTAACTTCTTTTTCTTTCGAAAACTTTTTTAACTTGAAGAGTAAAACAGTTAAGAAACATTTCTTACTCGCGTGGACTTCATTTGATATTTTGGCCATGTATTCTTTTATATTGTGACAAATTTGTAAGTAAAGAACATGTAATGCTCTGTTAAAAAAAATATTTTAACTATTTAATGTCGGTTTAATTGAATCTGCATTAGTTGATTTGTTATTTATAATGGGGGGTAGAATTGAGTAAATGAGGTTGAGATGAAGTTTCAGAGGGGCTGTGAGAATGAACAAAGGATGATAGAGAGTAGACAAAATGCAAAGAGAAGAGAGCAGGTGAGAGGATATCGAGCCAAGCATAAGCTAGGGCAATGAGCTTGAGTAGATCAAGAAAGAACGGTTTAAAGCTGATGAGCATTTCGTGCGGAAGATAAGACCTAGTGAAGCAATTGGCGAAGATTGGGTGTTGAGAAAGGATTGAGCTTGAGAAGGTGATTGGGCGCAACGATAGTAAGTGTGGTCAATCATGGAGTGGAGTCGAGCTCAAGATGTCATCCAGCTAAGGGGACCTTTAGAATTGCACAATATTGCACACACAAGTTCAAGTAACATACAAATTAGGGCATTTGGGGTGATTATCACAAAGACAGGCAAATAAATCAAGATAAGGGAAGACAAATCAATGTAGGAAGCCAACATGAGAGAGAGTTAGAACGTAATCGAGCGAGTGTGGCATTGGCCAAGGCCTAACAAGATTGTGCAAGGAAAAAAATGAGGTTAAAAATTTTAATTATGTTGATATTTTATATTAAAAAAAAATTTTAGTGAAGAATGATTGATAAATGAATATTAAGTATTATTTAATAAAACTTGAAAATCAAATTGATAAGTTAAATTTATATATAATATTTAGGAAAGTTAAATTAATATTTAATGATTAATATTATCTATAGTGAAATTGAAATAAATTTATCAATTAGGATAAATGAGAAATTTGAAATTTGAAGAAATAACGATATAGTATAGATAAATTTCAATTCGAATAAAAAGAGAAATTTATTTATAATGTTTAGGTGCAATTATAAATAAAAAATTTATTGGTAAATTTTAAATTAAATTTTGCATTCCATTATTTAACTAATTGTAAGAATTAATTGAATAAGGTTTAACTATCCAAGCAAAAGAAAAATATTAGTAAATAATGAGATAAATATACTAATACATGTGTAGATTAAATAGTTAACCTAGAAAATTTACATAAAACGTTTTTGTATTGATTTTAACTAATTATATAAATATCCCACTATGTTGAACACTAAAACAGTTTTGCTAAATAAATATTGATAAATCATGTGAGAATGAAAATCTGCATGATTTAAAGAAAATTAAATAGTTTGGTGCTTATGTAAGTAATCATAGGTTTTCAATGTAAGTGGAGTGGAGAACAAAAACAGAATGTAAATCTTCTAGGGCAGTATTCATATTTTCTAATTGTAGTAATAAAGGTTTTTTTTGAATTACATGTGTAAAATATCTGTAATACTGAATTGATTGCTGATTTACATTGCACCATGCTTTATCCATTCTATATGTAGTATTGATCATATTGAAATAAGCTTTATTGATAGCTTAGTATTTTTATACTTATTATATAATGCTCTATGATATGCGAATAAGAATGAGATGAACTAAATATTATAATGTTTGTATGTGCATGTTGATTTATGGATTTCATCATGCGCATATACTCGCAAAGGAAGCAGTTATTGAAGTACTTTAAATGATATATTTTATACGATGCTTTTGAGAGGGGTGTAATATATATAAAATGATATCATTAAGCTAAGATATTTTACAGTTTTATAGAATGCTCTAAACTTCTTGAATGATTATCTTTAAATACTAAACTATCAAATATTTGACAAGAATAAATGTTATTTTCTTTTTTGTTATGTTATTGTAATTTTAGAGGAATAAGTAATCACTGAGTCGATAGCTCATTAGGTTTTTAATTTTAACATTTTTGTGGAAATTGTGTATTTGAAAATGAATGAAAGAAGTAAAAATGTGTATAAAAGATAAGGATAAATGAGTGAACTCGAACTTGCATAATAATTGTTTATTTTTTTAATTAAATTAAATTTTATCATTAGTGGCGCTTTTGATGATTTTGTATAATTTATTTTTGTTGATGGAAATTAAAATTTAAATTGAATGTTTTGTCTGATCATTTATTTCTGTTGTGATAATTTCAAACCTTTAGGTTTTGCCGTGCAAAAAAGCTCTTCAAAACATTTGCTTTTAAGACTAAATTTAAAATATTATGTTTAATAGAATTGTTTATGAAATTTTGTATTAAAAAATTAATGAATGAAGTAAACATGTGTATAAAAAAGAAGGATAAATGAGTGCATGATAAATTGTATACATAATTTTTTATATTTTAAATTGAAATAAATCTTATCATTAGTGGCACTTTTGATAATTTTAGATAATTTTTTTAGTGATGGAAATTATAATTTAAATTAAATTTGTTGACTGGTCGTTTATTCCTGTTGTGGTTATTTTAAATCTTTAGGTTGCGTTGTGCAAAATGGCTATTTAAAAGATTTGTTGTTAAGACTACTTTTTAAATATATATATATTTTCGTCTTCAGCTTCACTCAACCGGCTTCTTCGCGCCCGACGATGAAGGGCTTGACTCTATTGGCTTCGTTTTTACAGTTTCTGGCCGAGCTTTTCTCGCACGTCCTCTTCCTTTCTCTTCCTGACACAGTCTCTCGCCACCTTGATACAAGGCAGTTTGCGTCGCTTGCAAACTCTGGTCGCGGTTTTGAGATGGCCTCGGGGCTCCTTTCCTACACCACCGCCCTTATCGACGATAACCCCGCTTGTGCCCCTATTTCGTATATGTTCTTGCAACGATACCATGATACTTTAACGCTGGTCGTTGACACCTGATTTCTCAATAAAGCATCCTGTAAAAATGGTAAGCTTGCAATCTTTCACTACGAAGCGGAGATCTCCACCTTAGCTTCATCTTATCGGCTAGTTTTACTTTGTAAGTTCTATGGAAACCCCAAACTCGAGCTAATTCAAAAAAAATTTGAGAAATTACGACTAAAAGGGGAATGGAAGATTGGTAAACTGGACGGTAGGCATATTCTTATACAATTATCAGATGATGAAAACAATGCTCATTTGTTTGCGAGAAGACTCGTTTGAATAGATAACCGTGTGATGAAAGTTTTAAAATGGACGGTCCTCCTACCATTCCTGTATGGCTGCGCCTCCTGGGTCTGAAGTTCCATCTCTTCAATCACTAGCTCTTCTACTCCTTAGCTATGGTTTACGGCCTCAAAACTGGTATTCCTACAATTAATTTACTTTACCTTTTCTAAGGGAGATTTGGATTGGCTCACAGCACCAGGGGTTTTGGCAACGGGCGGAAATCGAGCATATCCCACTTTATTGCACCCACTGCCGTATGTTTGGACACTCTCACTCTTAATGTCATCATTTGCTCATTTAAAACCTCAGTGTAAAAATGTTATTGGGCCTTCTGCCCCAACTCACACCTGTCCCTCCTCCACCCTTGAGTGCACTCTACTTGCTATTGAAAAATTGGTTGAAATGCTATCAGCTCTCTCTCCCACTACCGGACACCCCCCTTGACAATACTGTTTCTGTTTCTACGTTTGACATGTTGCCGAATGGTTCAGCTGGGCAACCTACAGCTTCAAACTTTTTTGAAAACAATACTGAAGGACCTTTACCTACAAAGTACAATGTTCGGTCCGATAATCAGGAGAGCTTTGAAGCTCCTCATCTTCAGGAAACATCAGATGCAGAGGAGATAATTCATACTTCACATACCTTAGAACCTATCATTGTTGCGAAGGTTGACCATCTCTCTACTGCGGCTCTACTACCTCATCAAAACGAGCAAGTTGTTACTGTTAGTCAGACGCAAGGGGCTCATTAGCTTATACATGCCTGACAATCTATCTACCAACACAGTGGTCAGATGAGTCAGTCTTCGGATGAAGAATGACAAATTTACATATCCAGAAGGAAAAAGAAGAATGGAGGCCTATTTCGGGTAATGACACAAAACTCAACAATTTGTTAGCTGACTCCCTAGAACTAGAGGCAGAGGCAGGACTAAATTGGGTCTTCCCTAGCCACTTGATTCTGTGATTTGGCGGTTTTGGTTTTTTGGGTTTACAAGTGTCTTTTCTTTCTTAGGACCTGTGTATGTGCTATATCGTGTGGACAGGGTGCCTTTTTTGGGTCTTCTCATACAACATATCTGTATCTTTTCTCTTTAATACATCAGCTCTTGGGCTTTTTCAATAAATAAATATAACCACACTGTACAACACACACCAAAAAATCTAAAAGATGGGTGCATATAGAAATAAAGAAAACACAAAAAATTACCCGGGCTCTGAAAAAGTGTGGGTCATCCCAATCTAGTCTTGCCTCTAGCTTTAGTTCTCGGTAGGGATCCAATTAGCAGATTGGTAAGGTGCTGACCGTTACCTGTAGTAACCAAAGTATCATACATAAGACTTCTGAGCTCTAGTAGATCTCTATTCTACTTCTTCCTCCTAGAAGTGTAAACTTGCCATTACTCCTCCGAAGAATCAACCTGATGGGGTAGAGCTGAAGCAGAAGGAATACCAATAGTAGTACCCAGAATAGGTTCTAGAATATGTGAAGTATGAGTTGCCTTTATACCTTGGTACTTCTTGAAAAAGTGAAGTTGCGAGGCTCTCCTGATTATCAGTCTGAACTCTATCATTTATATGTAATAATCCAGCAGTATTGTTTTCTATTGAGTTTGTAGGTGCCAGCACCGCATCGCTTGCAGTAACAGTAACAACAGTGTCATGGGGGGGGGGGGGGGTCGGGGGGGCGAATGGTAGTATCCTCCCCAGGTGGAACTAAAATATCCAGAGCAGTGGAGTTAAACCCATCCTTATTCACTTGAAATTTAGATTTCAAATTTGAATGAAACTTATGACATTTATCAAGGACATGACCAAACATATTACAGTGGCTATAATATGAGGGTTTGTGTTCCATGACGATTTGTTGCCAATAACCATTATGGGTTGTGCCCAGCCAAACTTCAGTAATATTAGGTAAAGTAATATCTCTTTCCATAAGTATTCTGGCCATCGAGGGTCTGGTTAGGTATTAAAAGTAGACGGATCTAGTTTCAAAGGATCCTCTAGGATGACCTCAATAGAGTAGAGAACCTGATGGTGAAAAAAATGCAGCTTGAGACTAGGTAAACTAAACCATACCAGTACAGTGGGAGTATTGGGAGTTTCATGATTTGGGCCGAAATTAGGAGACTACTTAGTAACTTCAATGATTTACCTTCGATATTAATATATTTCTTTGAAGAAAATTATGGTGTAGTCTTTAGCCACTGTTAGTTGGATCAACACATGTCTCCCATTCATGAGTCCTACTTTCCACTTGCCTACTAGCTTGAGATCATCAACACTCTTTATGATAACATTCATAGGTGGGTGTCCCCATTGAAACTTTCCAATAAGAGCAAACTTAATTTTTCCATGAGGGTTGAAATTTCTGAGTCAGAGAAAAAGATTGTTGTTTTTCACCTTATACTTTCCTTCTTAATAACAGGACAATCCTCTGTCCCCTCACGAGATTCCTTATAACTTGAGGGGAATACCGCCGCGGCCTTCACGTGAGGGTTATCCACCACATGGGCAAAGGAGACTTTGTCCGACTCAACCAAAGAAGAAGGAAACTCCATCAGAGGCTGTCGACGTTAAAACTGTTGTGAGATTGCTGAAAGGCAGAGGAGCTGTCGGGAGCAGAAACAGGGAGCAGCGTCGAAACAGAAGAAAACCAAACAGTAGGGCGGAGACGACAAAGCTGTGAGCGACAGAGGCATGGAGTGATATCGAGCAGGAGCTGTAGCGATATCGAGGAAGACGACGACGCGAGCAGTGAGCGATATTGCCACGTGAGCCTCGACAGGGAGTTGCGAACGTCGACGCCAACAAATGCAGACACCAGCCGACGGAGCAAGAGTCGATGATGCGAGGTTCTTTCCTTCTAGCAGTAGAATCAATTGTGACCGAAATCGCCATTGGAAGCCCTAGCAGAGCTCTCGACCGTAGCTGACATCATGTATGTATATATATATATATATATATATATATA